AAATCCTCTTCTATTTAAAAGTGGTTGGATTTAAAAGTAGTAATTCCACTGGAGTAAGAACAAGCGTCCCAAATGGTGCTGCTACTTTTTGTATACAAAATGTTTCTATTATTTGATTAAATATGCTGTGTGAAGATACATAAAAACACAGAACCTTTAGGACTACTCTTATATAGGACAAACAAAAGAAACCTTTGGTCCCTCTACCAACATGAATGTCAAGATCAAACCAGGAAACTCATTGTCTGCCTTTCATATTGTTTTCATATTGGAATGCAGATACTGTGAGTTACAACCGCATTTGCCAACTAGCCAACGGGGAGTACAAACACTTGTTCATTTGAGGATTGGGTCGTTCTATGAATCGGTGGTTCATCAAAAGCCTTCTTTATTTTAGTTCTTCGTCGACCCTGATGGATGCATAAGAAATAGTAGAATGATAGTTTTTTTGGAGTCTTTCGTCTTAATTGTTTGTTTTGTGCAAGATACTAATCAATGAAATTTAGTAGTTGGCACGCCGTACCGGAAAACAGCCAAATCTTCTGGTATGTAATTATAGTAGTGTCGTACTCAATGTTTCCCTTGATCATTGGCATGTTTGGGATAAGGTTAATTAAGGTATGTAAGTGAATGTACTTAGAGGTGGTAGTTTGAGGTATGTGTAGGGAGGTTATACTCTCGCAGTGCGATTATATGTCGATCACTTTGACTTGGTTTTTAAAGATTTAAGAAATTTAAAATTGTTGTTAAGCGGAAATTCCTTTTTGCACTTAGGCCATGTTCTCTTCGCCTCATCTGAATGGTTCTAATCTAATTGCAATATATTCTGATCCGATCTGATATGATCTGGATGTAGTTATAATTAAAACTGTTTCTAGTGTGATCTAGTATAGTTTGATGTGATCTGATTCTAATAGGAAAATGTAATAAGTAATAAGAATAAGTTGAAGAGAACATGACCTTAAGGTGCACGAAGACACGAAGTATTAAGGTAAACATTTATTTAATTCAACTTGGTTATTTTGACATTTGCCACCAGTGTCATGTTATGACATTGGTCAATGTGAGCACCCTACACTGCTTTGTTCTAGTCAGAGCTGTTTTGTAACCCTTCTAAAACCTAATCCCTAGCATTTACCCCATTTTGGTTGAAATTTTAATCTAAATTTTAATCCTAATTGAAAAAAACTGCTTTTTATCTTGCATCAATGTGGAACTGCGTGCATCTAAAGCACTTTTTACAAAGATTAATGTAGTTGTATATAAATTCAAACAAAAACGTAATGAACTAGAAAATATTTGAGTCCTATTGTTAAAAGGTCTTGTTCTCGAAAGCAATGTACGAGTAGGTGAAATGACAACTATCCGAGATTCAGAATCACATAGTAAAAGCACATGGATTTCATGGTATGATATTTAGTTCGTACCGGTATTGTATCTAATATTTTGGTCCGGTATGAGATGTTACATCATACTGATCCCAATTTTAAAATATCGGTTCGGTATGGTTCGAGATTGTTCGGTATCGCTTTTGGTACAAATTGAGATGAATAATACATACTTTACACATTAAAATGTAACAATACCCCTTTATTTTTGAAAAATTGAAAGTACATTTAAATAAAGAAACATAAAAAACTAAAAAAAATATTTAATGCAAGAAATGCATATCAAAACTAAGCTTATATTTCACAAATTAAAAAAGGAATGATAAAAAATTCTATTTCGAATTTTTATGAATATTTTTATATTCATATGCAAAAAAAACTAAAACTCAAATAAAAGTGTAACTTACACATAATAGAATTTGAACCAAATCTTCAAAATATATTTATTATTTAATGAAGATATATAAAAATATTATTATTTTTATAATATATAAGTATATATGTTCGGTTTAGGCTTTTTGGTATGGGACGTCACCTGGTACCGTTCCCAAATTGCATAACGGCTGTACGATTCAGTATTTTTCAGTTTGGTATTTTCAATTTTTTCAGAAAATTTCGAGACCGGTTTGGTACTTGCTCACCACTACTCTTCATGGTCTATGGAATGTAATCAGAGACCAAGTGGTTAGAGGCTCAACATTTCTAAATGAGCATTTAAAAATTTATGAGAAAAATGTACAAAAAAAGAATCATACTCTCTCCGTCGCAATTTATTTTAAAGAAAATACTAGAGTCACAAACAAATACGGAGTATTTCACAAACTTCACAAACTTGTCTTTTGTGGATTTTCATTTAAAATATCTTTTATTATTTGAGTGCATCTTATTTCTAGGAAAATCTTAAAAAGGTAAGTTTGTGAATTTTGTGGGCAGTTTGTTTGTGACTCTAGCATTATTCATTTTTTAATGAACAATAGGTACTTCAAATTTTAAATTTACATTCCGTTCATTTCAATTTAATTTCAAATTGCACTAAGTTTTAACGCGTAGTTAGAGGGCGTTTGGGGTTGTGTTTAAAAATTGCTTATGAGCTTGCTTTACTAAAATAACGTTTGTCTTGTTTGTCAATTTACTTCAGATTATAGATTATGACTTCTACAATCTAAGAGTATGTTTGGCAGTGTGATGCTTTCTAGAATTTAGTTTCTGCTTTGAGTGCAAGTGATTTTACTCTGTTTGGCATGTCATCTTATTATTTTCTCTAACACTATTTTGTACATAGAACATTGTTTTGGAGAAGCAGTTATGAGGTGCTTTCGCTTTCAGCTTTTGTGAAAATTACTTTATCCACAAGTTAATCACTCCAAAACACCCTCTAAATGGGCTCCAGAAGTACTTTTAAGCAAATTAAAAATATCTACTTTCCACTTCGATTTAAAAGTTCTGCCTTTTCAAGACTATACCACACTCCCAAACACCCTCTTAATATCAATAAGAGAGTGTTTAGGAGAGTGGTGGATTGTTGAAATTGTAAAAGTTTTAAGTCGAAGCAGAAATTAGATATTTTTAAATTTGCCTAAAAGTACTTCTGGAGCCCATTTTAGAAGGTGTTTTGGAGTGTGGTAGATTATTGAAAACGTAGATGTTTTAAGTAGAAGCAGAAAGCAAATATTTCTATCTTTGTTTAAAAGCACTTCTAGAGCCTATTTTAGAGTGGAGAAGGCATAATCCATAAGCAAAAGCAAATTGGAAAACATGATAAATAACATTTTAATGAAGCAAAAGCTCATAAGTAGTTTTTAAATGCAATCCCAAACGCCCTCTTAGACTATAAAAATCATAATCTATAAGCAGAAGTACATTGGTAAACAAGACAAACATTATTTTAGTAAGGCAAAAGCTATAAGCAAATTTTAAACGCAACCCCAAATGCCCTCTAAGTTTAGTTTTAATTGTACAACAATTATAAAATATTACGGAGTAATATTCTTATACTCGTAATATTTAACTTTTACAGCCTTCATTAGAAACCTCCGCCCTTACCAATACCAGTTTTGCCCAACCATAATTAAAGAATTGGCATTTCTAGAACGAGTACTTCTTTGGTGTAACTTTTGTGCATATTATTTTTGTAAACCTTCTCATATTAATTTTTTTTAAGTTTTTTTTTAAATAAATGCTTGTCTAAGTAGTAAGAATAGAAATCATCCTAAATAGGATTAAAACATAGAGAAAAGTACCAAAATATGACTTTCATGTTTTTTTCCGGAATAGGACTTTGCATTGTGGTAATGTGACTTTGCATTGTCGTAATGTGGCAGTGTACATGCGCGGATTACTATACTTTTTTGGTAATGTATATGACCATGTTTGGTAATGCAAGTCCTATTTCGGAAATAAAAACATGGAAGTCCTATTTTGATATGTTTTCAATGTTTTAGTCCTACTTTAGTCTTTCTCCCTAGTAAGAATGCTTATTTTTTATTCATAGGTAAGTTCATGGTGGACCTTAGGCACACCTTAGCATTTGTCTTCTAGAACCGATATCCCATCTAAACTTTAAACCCAGTACTTTGCTCGGGGTGTAACAGAGTTGGCAAGTCCAGAGGTGCCAAGCAAGTAACACTCAAGTTTGATTCATCACAACTGTATTGGAAGACAACACTAAAGTGAGTACTCCCTGCGTCTCGTAATAAGATTCAATATTTGACTGGGTACAAAGATTAAGAAAAATGAAATTTTGTGATTTAAAGTGGTGTAGAAGAAAAAACTATAGTCCATCTATCCCAAAATGATTTACACTATTCGAATGACAATCAAAATCTCATAAATTTTTTAAAATTATTTTATACTCTGTACAAAAATTGAGGTACAAATAAAAAGTACAAATTGCATATTTAAAAACTATATCAAAAGTTCTAAAAACAAAAGACGACAAGAAAATTTAATTTTTTAAAGGATCAATGAAAATATATAAACAAACAAAAATTTTGGAGACATCATAATAATAAAAATATGGATCATTTTGAGATAGACAAAGCATAGAACACAATTTTTTTTTAAAAGTGGAAACTGAACTTTTCTTTTTCGGGACAAAGGAAAAATGATATTTCTCAGGATTAAGACTCTGTTCTTTTCGGTTGTAATTTCTGAGTTGGATGTTGAAAGAAACTGGAAGGAGTAGAAAAAACTAGAAAGAATTTAAAAATATTAAAAGAATTTAAGTGTTAAAAAAACACCCAATTAAATGATCATCCAAATAAGTATGTAAAGAAATTCTAATTTTGGATTAAAAAGAATTCATCATTGTCTGTGTTTGAACTAATATGTTATAAATTTGAATATATAATATTATTTTATATCATATATAAATATATTTTTAAGTCATTATTTAAAAAAATTAGAAGAAAGAGGAAAAAATTTGAAAGAAATTGAAAAGTTAGAATTTAATTTTTCAAAATCTAAAACATGCCTAAAAATGAATTGTGGAACGAGGGAGTATCATTTTTGTGCGGCAAAATAACAGGCCACGCCACCGCATCTCCGCCGAGGGCCACATTTCTCTGATCAGGATTTAACGACGACCGCCCTTCTCATTAGTATCTAGAGATAGAAACAGACGACGAAGAAGAAGAAGGTGCAGAAGCGTCCGTATTAATCGGATGGATCACTACAAGGTATTAGGGGTAAGCCGCGATGCGAGCAAGGAATCAATCAAACAAGCCTTCCGGAAGCTCGCCGTGGAATTCCACCCGGACAAGCACGCCAACTCTCCGCCGCACGTGAGAGAACGCGCCACCCTCAAATTCAAGCACCTCTCCCACGCTTACGAAACCCTAATGGACGACCGCAAGCGCGCCGATTTCAACATCCGCTCCTCCTCCAACCCTTCTTCTTCTTCATCCCACCACTGGAATCGCAGTACCTATCGGGATCAGAATTCCGGCGGCGACAACAGAAATTCCGGCGGGTACGGCTATAATTACGGTTATACCCGCAGCGGCCGTGCCTCCTACATCAATAAGCTGGAGATGCTCCTCCGCCTCATGACCGCCCGGACCTCTCTTCTCCACCTCACATTTGCCGGGTAATATTCACTTGTTTAATTTTGGTACATTATTCCATTGGATTCGATGATTTGTTTGCTCTGGGATAAAAGAAACTAGAAGATCAAACCAATCTCCTTCATTTAAGAATATCAAATTGACACTGTAATTATGTTATGTTACATCAGAAAATTAGAAAAAAGATATAGATTAACAAGGACTTGAATGAAACTAGATAATCCATTGGATTCAATCTTTTAGCATGAATTGATCCCGGTGTTTTATGCCCCAGAAAAAGAACACTCCGAAACCAGATAATTCATTGGATTCAATGTTTTTATGGTTTGTTTGGATGAGGAGAGAAAATGAGAGGAAAGAAAATGATATGAAACGTAATGAAAGGAAAGAAAATGGTGAGTAAATGGAGTGGAAAACAACTAAAGTTGGATTGATAGAAAATGATACTTCGTACTCATTTTCTCATCCAATCAAACAAAGTGAAAACTCTTCGGCTCCGTTTGGTACATAGAATTCAAACTATGGAATTGGAATTGAGGAGTTCAGTTTCAATTCTGGTGTTTGGTAGAACAAAAATTATGTGGATTTGGAATTGATAGTGCAAAAAATGAATTGAAATTGGTGAATTCAATTCTATGGAATTGAATCTCATGGAATTTTAATTCCAATTCAATTCCAATTCCATATACCAAACAGACCCTTCATTTCTCGCCATCAGTTTTCTTTTTCTTTCCTCCCTTGTTCTCATCGTCCAAACGGTCGATTAGTGTCTAGGTGTTTTATGACTCAATCGAATGACCTCTTTCCAATTTAAAATTATATCAAACTCCAAGATCAGCTCGTAAGCTAAGTCCATCAAAGCAATACACGGGGTGAGGAAGTGTGTCGTTTATAGCAGTAATTTCTCAAGAATAATTAGAGAAAAATACTACTCATAAATTGCATTACTCTACACGATTAGGCAATATATTGATTCGTATTGTTGGGTCAAAGGCTTTTGTTAGGTGCATCAGTGGCAATTTATAGCGGTGGGAAAGCGCTGTGGAAGATGCACAACTCCGGGGTATGTTGTTCTTGTCTCTCTTTGAATCATGTTGTTTTGCATCAAATCAAATTCTAATGTTAAAAAGTTCTTAGAAAATGAACTCAAAATTTGAGATTTGGTAGTAATCTATGATTGCCAATCTCTTCTCTCTCGCGCTCTTGATGCTATCTTCGTAGTTCTTTATTATGAATGGATGCAGAAATTGTTTGAGGATGCAATGGATTCGATAGACAATGCCAAAGGATGAAACAACGATGAACCGTAGAGGTTTTGTTTCGTTTACGACTTTGTTCTTGAAGCCAAATTTTGAAAGTCCATGGTCCAAAATCCAAATGCAGGGATATGGTTCATTCTTAATGTGTGTACAGGATTCATATGAAAAGGTAGGTAAACCAATGTAAATGTATGCTTATCATAAAAAATGAGGCTTTGTATCTTTAACATCTTATAGTCCAAATTTAAATTGTCTGTTGTTGTTTACCAGATTTGACTGAAATTATTTTCAATTCAATTTGTGTAAAAATTGGTGTGGATTTAATAAATTAAAATTTATATATTTGAAAACTATATCTAAATATGTACAAAACAAGAAGTGACAAGGTTATATTATTTTATCAAATGTGCAATGAAAATTGGTTAAAGTTTGACTTTACGAATAGTAACTAGGTAATTTAAATTGGGACGGAGGGAGTAGTATTGTACCATAGTTTTGAATAAAATTCCATACTATTAGTGGACAAAACACTTTTGTACTCCTTCCGTCTCATTTTATATTACTCGTTTTGATTTTGGGACATATTTAAGGAAGGGAAAAATGGTGTTGACTTTCCAAAAATGTCTTACTTTTTTTACGGGGGTGGCGATGAATGAGAAGATAAGGTGGAGAGGAGTGAATTATTTTAGAAGTAGTTTAGGTATTTTACTCTTAAAAATTTATTATTATAAAAAAAATAATTTATTTTGGGACAGACAAAAAAGAAAAACAAGTAATTTAAAGGGGGACTTGTCATTTAAATAATTAGGATATCAAATAGACAAATACATGTACATGAAATCTGCCATTAGGTGGGTTTTTTTGTTGAGATTTTTGCATTAACTTTGGTAATCATTTGGAAAAGAATTCCTCTTAAAAATGGGTTTAGAAAACAGGCCGTATAAGTAGAAATATACCGATTTAGTGATTTGGGAAGGATAAAGCTATTTGTACACCAAATTTTTGTACCCCATTTTGTATGCTGCAGGTTTGCACTGACATTTTGTATTTTGTGCTTGTGTAAAACTAAAATTTGTTAACACATTAGGTGTAGGTTTTCTCTCTCTCTCACCATGAGGAAGAGAGGACGACCTCCAAAAATCGATGACAAATCAACAAGAATGGATAACTCCACGACGGAGGAACGGCCAGAGAAGGAGATTCCTTCTGAGATCACACCGGAACAGAAAAAAGAAGGTGAGGAATCTGGATTTGATGGAACCCTAGATCCTGATCAAAATCTGATAAATGCCAACAAAATTGTGACGGAACAACCCAAAAGCTATGCGGAAGTAGTAGGCGTACAGGAGGAGCTGAATCTAGATTTGAAATACATACCTGCGGAGATAATTGATGGCACACCTATTGCTAGATTTTCAACGGACGATGTCATTGAGCCAGGTGAGTACTGGGAATCTGCCCTTATCTGCTGCGTATTGGGAGCAAACCCCCCATTAGAAGTAATCAAAGGCTTTCTTGCTCGAATCTGGAAACGATATGAAATAGATGATATATCCTTCCTCAAAGAGAGTCAATTCATTGTGAGATTTAAGAAGAAGGAGGACAGAGATGAAATAGTAAAGAGGAAATACTACTATATGGATAATAAGCCAGTTTATGTCCAACAATGGTATCCTGGGTGCAAGGTGGATATAATGAACAGGAAGGATATCCCGATATGGATTCAGTTCCCTGACCTAGAGATGAAATACTGGAGCCTAACTGGGTTAAGCAGGCTTAGAAGCACAATTGGTAAACCTATTAAAAGAGATGGAGCTACTGCCTCAAGGAGGAAATGGGCCTATGCGAGGATAATGATTGAGGTTCAAATAAATCAAACGTTCCCTGACCAGATTAACTTTATCAATGAAGAAGGAAGGATCATCACACAAACTGTCACTTATGAATGGGCACCAACTATTTGTTCACATTGTGACAGGATAGGGCACAAACTAGAGAAATGCAGGAGGAAAACTGCCCTAAAGGAAGCCAACATTACTAAAAAGATGGTATGGAAACCCAAAGCATATCCTAAGGAAACTGAGGGGAAGGATGCTGAGAACCATAGCCATAAGGAGGATAGAGAAGAGCCCGAAACCCCCACCTCTCCTAAATCGGATGGAAAAAACAATGCAGATGAATCAGAAGAGTTAAAGGATGAAGGTTTTACTGAAGTCTCTAAAAAAAGGCTGCCCTGGAAGGAGGGCAATGTGATTTTATTGGGCTCATACACAAAGATTTAAGTCTAGCCCCATATGAGGGACACTACCCCTTCTTGCTATGATAGGATGTTGGAACATCAGAGGCCTAAATAGCCCGAATAAACAGTTTGAAGTGGTCAACTTCATAAATAAGAATAATCTAGCCATAGTTGGTTTGTTGGAAACTAAGGTGAGAGATAGTAACTACAAAATAATTGAAGATAGACTGGTTAAAGGATGGAGTTCAATAATTAATAATAATGCCCACCCGTTGGGTAGAATTTGGGTAATTTGGAACCAAAATAGAATAAACCTAAAGATATTGGACATCTCAGAACAAGCTATACACTGCCACGGGAAGTTCATTGGGGATGACAGAGTCTTTTTCATAACATTTATCTATGCTCACAATGACCCAAAAAAGAGGAAAAATTTGTGGGAGTTCCTGCAGAATTCTGTTACCACTTCAGCTTGGTGTGTTCTTGGTGATTTTAACACAGTTCTCCATTTGGATGAAAGAATAGGTGGTAATGCTGTTAGCAGGGAAGAGTTACAAGAATTCCAAGATTGTCTGAATCACTGTGGACTGGATGACCTGCCTTTCGAAGGACCTAAGCTCACCTGGACCAACAATTAGGGTATTGGGAAAAGAATATACTCTAAGCTTGATAGAGTATTAGGGAATATGGACTGGTTAATAAAGTTTGATATGAAGGTACAATTCTTTGAGGGGGGAATCTCTGACCATTCTCCAATGGTACTTAAATTCATCAATCAGAGAAAGCCATCCCACAGTTTCAAATTCTGTGAAATGTGGACACTAGATCCTGCCTTCCCTAGGATTGTAGCTGAGGTTTGGGATAAGGAACATGGTGGCCATTCTATGTATCAAATCATCCAAAAACTGAAGCAACTAAAGGATCCGTTGAGGCAACTAAACAGGAGGAAATACAAGTCTTTGGATAATCAAATAGATGAACTGTAACACCCTAATCCGTCCAGGTCTGCAGCCCCTTTCGGACTAAAGTATTTAACTTGGTAATCGTAAAATTTAAAACTTTTCAAACACACTTTATTAATCTCAATAATATTTTTCATAACATATACAGTACGGAGTATTTAACAATATTGCGGAAGCGAACTTAATATTGACATATCATAAATCATTTCAAACTTGTCACATCCATCCCGACAATCTCGCCCCATCTGCCGTCAGGATCACATTAATCTTTCTGTTTACCTGCGTGTAGCAAATAAAACAAACACACTACACGCTCAGCGGTAAAGCTGAGTAAGCATATCTAATGCGTTGAACATCCATATAAACTGAATCTAAATTCATAATCAAATCTTTTGATATCATGCACACAATGTTCGTTTCAGACATTCAGAGTTTTGATATTATTCAGTTCATATCAACACATTTTATTCAATTCAGATACTATTTCAATAGTGCTCTTAAATTATTCTCAATCTAAGGCCAGATCATAACAACGCTCTTAGCTATTCTTAGTCTAAGGCCAGGTCATAATAATGCTCTTAGCTATTCTTAGTCTAAGGCCAAATCATAATTTCATTCTCAGATGCTTAAACTATAATTAGTTTAAGGCAAACATTTCTCAGACGCTTAAACTATAATTAGTTTAAGGCAACAGTTCTCGGACGCTTAAACTTTAATT